CCCTAAACCCTAAACCCTAAACCCTACATCGCAGCACCCCAGGGGCCCAAGACATCCGAAGCCACGGGACCCACCAAACTAACACCCTCCAATATGCCATTTGGTAAAATCCAGCAGCAAAAATAAACATTAACAACAAAGGTGGCAGGGGGGCCCCCAGGGGCCCCCAGGGGCCCCCAGGGGACCCCAAGGGGACCCCCAGAGGTCTGGGCGCCCCATCGGGGGCCCCCAGAGCCTTGATCTGGGTACTCTCTCATTTGTGTTTATTTATTGAGTTAATTATTTAATAACTTTTAAATAAAATAAATAATTTCAAACTTGCAGAGGCACTGCGCCTGCAGCCTTCCTCGCTAGCTGCAGCTGCAGCAAACCCTTGGGGGCCCCTTGAGGTCTAGGGGGCCCCTGGGGGCCCCTTGAGGTCAAGGGGGCCTTTGGGGGCCCCTCGAGGCCTGAGGGGGGCCCCCGGGGGCCCTGGAAAACCCGCAGCAAAACTTGGGGGGCCCCACAACCTTGGGGGTCCCCCCCAGACTTGCTGCCTGTGCTGCGGTGTACGTACACAGGGGCCCCATGAGGGCCCGCGCTTGCTGCTTAGGGGGGCCCCCCAGCTGTGTGGGGCCCCTTAGCGGGGCGCCCCCCAGTTGGGGGCCCCTCGGCCTTGGGGCCCCTAGGAGGCCCCTGAAAAGGGTACTGACGCCGCATGCTTGCTGCGTGGCCCCCGGTGTACCCTTGAACCTGAATGAGGGGCCCCCACCCAGGCGAAGGGGGCCCCTCTTTGGGGGGCCCCCCAGGTTGAGGGGGCCCCCAGGGCTGCGGGGGGCCCCAAACCCTTGGGGGGCCCCCCGGCTGGGGGCCCCCCTGAGGGCCTTCTGCAGCACGAGGGATTCCGCTGATGATGCCGACTTGTCGCAGCTGCAGAAAGCCTTGATGCCAGGTAAACCCTAAACCCTAAACCCTAAACCCCAAACCCTAAACCCTAGTCGCAAACTCTAAAACCTACGCCCTACACCGTAAACCCTAAACGCTTGACTGTAAAGCTCTGCAGCCTCTCGCGCCTTCGCTTCAGATGGCGGGCGCCTCTCTGCAAGGCTTGGTGGACAAGGGTTTAGGGTTTAGGGTTTGGGGTTTAGGGTTTAGGGTTTGTTGCTGGCGGTTCCAGGAGGCTGGTGGAGCAGCTACCGGCTGTCAAGGCTGGCGCTGCTGTGCACTGCCTGCTTCGGGTGTACGTACACCGCAATTTACTTCTTCGGGATGAGGCCCCTCAAGCAGCAGCAAAAGGAGGGGGCCCCCCGGGGGGCGCTCCTGGGGGCCCCCTGGGTTGCAGTAAGTGGAAATTTGGCCACTAAAATGCTTTGTATAAAGCAGCATTCAATTCCCTTTTTTGTTTTATCTTATTATTTTAAAATGCAAATTTTAAACTCAAAAGAGCAAACAAAAACAGAAAAAGGAGCTTGCTGCAGCTGTATAGATACCCAAGACGCACACACCCTATAGCCCCAGCAGCAGCAGCAGCAGCAGCAGCAGCAGAAGCAGCAGCAGCAGAAGTGGCATGCATGCAGAAGCCTCTGGGGTCCTCCCAATTAGGTTAGGCTTTAGGGTACCTCTAAATAGGTTTTGGGGGGCCCCTATTGGGTTTTGGGGGCCCTCCTATTGAGCCTTTAGGGGCCCCCTAGGGACTGGGTTTTGGGGTCCCCCAGGGGCCCAAAACTTAGTGGGTTTAGGGGCCCCCTAGGGGGTGGGGGCCCCCAGGGGGCCCCTGGTGAGCTTGGGGGGCCCAAGGGGGCCCCCATTAGGGTCCTAATTATGTTAAAGGTTTTGAGGGTGTGGGGTGTGGGGTGTACGTACAGCTGTGGGGCGCGGAGTGGCTCAGCCACTTGGGGCCGCTGCTGCTGCCACTGCTGCTGGAGGCCCAAATTGAGCCTTGCCCCGTGCAGCAGCTGCAGCAGCAGCAGCAGCAGCAGCAGCAGGGGGCTGTGCTGCTGCAGGAGGAGCAGACGCAGGCGATAGCAAGTGAGGCAGCAAAAGGATCCAGAATGGGGGCCCCAATGTACAAAAAGGGGGCCCACCAGGTATTAGGAAGGAATGCTGCTGCTGCTGCCACGGCTACTTCCCCTGCTGTTGCCACTGCTGCTGCCACTGCTGCTGCGCCTGCTGCTGCACCAGCCGCTGCGGTTTCCCTGCTGCTGCTTCTGTTGCTGCCGCAGCAGCTGTGCTACAAGTTGCTGCTGCTCATAACACGGGTGCCACATGCTGCTGCTGCTACTGGTGCTGCGGCTGCTGCTGCTGCTACTGGTGGTGGTGCTGCTGCTGCTGCTTTGCTTTGCAGCACTTGAGGCCTTGACTCGCACGCGGCCGGCGCGCCGCCGCTTCATAGAGCGGCAGAGTCAGGTTTCAGAGGACCCTGCTGCTGCTGCTGCTGCTCCTGCTGCTGCTGCTGTTGCCCCTGCTGCTGCGGTTGCTGCTGCGGGGAATAGACTGCTGCGCCTGCTGCTGAGGGAGCTTTTAGTGGACGCAAAAAGGCAGTCCTCGCAGCTGCCGACGGCTGCAGCAGCAGCAGCAGAAGCAGCTCCAGCAACAGCAGCAGCAGCAGCAACGTGCAAGGACCCCAGCAGCGACAATGGTAGAACTGCAGCAGGTGATAAAGATGCAGCAGCCCCAGAGCAGCAGCAGCAGCAGCAGCAGGTTGCTAGCCGGTACAGCGCATCGCAGAGGGTTTCCCTGCTGCGTCTTATCTTCAGGCTGCTTGATGTGATACCGGCAGAGGTTCGCTGCTGCTGCTGTTGCTGCTGCTGCTGCCGTCTATGCTGTTGCTGCTGCTGTTGCTGCCGCTGCCGCTGCTGCTGCTGCTGCGCTTCCGTGCTAAGCAGCAGATGCAGACGACCAGCCTTGGCCCCAGTGACTCCACAGCCGCCGCCGCTGCTGCTGCTGCTGCTGCTGCTGCTGCTGCAGGGGCGCGCAGTGCCTTACGAAGACTTAGCGGACTTAGTCGCTGCTGATGTGTCTTTGTGGAATTTGTCTCCTTTGCTGAGGGAGCGTCAGGCGCTGCTGCTGTACCGGCTGCTGCAGGCAGGTTTATTTTGCTGCTTCCTCTCCTGGGCTTCAAAACCCTAAACCCTAAACCCTAGGCCCTCAAACCCTACTGCTTCCTCCTCTGCTGCTTCGCTTCTTTGTTATTTCTTAAAGCAAATTCAAGTTCTCTTTTGCTGCTCAGTGCAAAGAAAACAGCTGCAGCATCATTAGCAACGAGCTGCTGCCACCCGCCAGCGCAGGCGCCAACAATCAGCAGCAGCAGCAGCAGCAGCAGCGGGCAGAACCTGCAGCAGCAGCAGCAGCAGCAGAAGCAGCAGCAGCATCAACAGAAGCAAAGCCTGTTCTCACCTTCCTGACGGACCCTACCACGATGTACAGACACCGCAACCCCCTGGCGAACTTGGGAGTATGAGTTTAGGGTTTAGGGTTTAGAGTTTAGGGTTTAGGGTTTAGGGCTAGTGGCTATGGGTTTAGGGTTTAGGATTTAGCACAGACACATTGATTAATCGCTGTTGCCTCTTTTATTGCTATTGAGTCTACATTACGTAGCTCTACACTAGGGGCTAAACGCAGCAGCAGCAGCAGCAGTAGCAGCAGCAACAACAACAGCAGCAGCAGCAATAACAGCAGCAGTAATAGTAGTGGCGGCGGCTGCAACGAGACCGAAGCAACGTCCAGAACTGGAGCAGCAGCAGCAGCAGCAGCAGCAGCAGCAGCAACAGCACTAACACCAGCAGCAGCAGCAGCAACAGCAGCAGGCGTGTTGGGGCTGCGCGGGATGTGCTTTGCTGCAGCTATTGGGGCGTCTTTGGACAGGCGAAGTGGTGGACATAAAGTTGAAGTCTTTGCTGCTGCTGCAGCGGTCGGCCCCTGCTGCTGCTGCTGCTGGTATGGCTCTGCTGCTGCTGCTGCTGCAACAGTTGCTGCTGCTGCTGCTGCTGCCATTTCTCTGCTACTGCTGCTATCGGTGCTGCTGCAGTGCTGATGGCGCTGTTGCTGTTGCTGCTTTTCTTGTTGTTGCTGCATTTGCTGCTGCTGTTGTTGCTGCTGCTCTTGCTGCCCAATAGGTTACTACTTCCTGCCAGCAGTGGACTGCCCCTCCTAACTTTCGTTGCTGCTGCTGCTGCTGCTGCTGCTTGTTCAGAGCTGCAGCAGCTGCTGCAGCAAAGCGAAGAGCCCATAGGGGTGCGGCGGGGGCCCCCCTTGAGGGTCAAAGAAAGGGCGCAGCAAGGGGCCTCAGCAGCAGCACTTGTTGCTGCTGCTGCTGCAGGCAGCGCTTTGTGGCGAATGGAAGCAGCAGAGCTTTCTCTTAAGAACGCGGGGAAGGTGAGCCCACAGGCAGCAGCAGCAGCAGCAGCAACAGCA